TGATCACAGCACTCCCCCTGACATGTCCTGGTCTGCTTTCAGACACAGGGATACTATAAATCCACATGTACAGTACACATTCCTCTGTGCTACACACGTTTCAATGTTTCAGGTTCGTGTCCCTTTAAGTAGAGGAGCTATAAGGAGAAAATAAGAGTTTAATTACACGGTATTTCACCCAGATGAATGATGGGATCTCTCAGGAAATGCACCAGCTAAAGCACATATAAGGAACAAAGTTTAATCTGTCGTTGGAGAAACGAGCGCTACAAATGTTGCTGTAATTAAAGGCTGCCTATTTAGAAATATTTTGTGACAAATTATACCTTACGGCTACAAAAGAATAATAACGCAAACGAAGGAACCGGTTATTTTTATAATAAACAAACTGTACACTCTGTTACACTATCCAAAGAGGAACAATAGGACGACAACCTTCATTTTCATGTTAGATTAAAGGGTCTGTGCACTTTTAAAGTGGACCTTTACCCCCTTTGACTAAAAATCACATCAGCATACAGCTCTGCATGCTGATATGAAATCATCTTACATTCATAAGCTAAACAAAATATTTTTATTTTACTTAAAATTTATTTTTTTCCACTTCCTGCTCCACTTTGGCACAATTGATGTAATCGTGCCCAAGCATTGCATCCTGGGAAGGTTACATCAGCAGAGCATTGCTGGGAAATTCCATCTGTATTTTCATGAGATCTCAGGGAAAGGCATTTTCCTCCCCTGAGATTATGTGCATGGTCACATGTCCTAGTCACATGTGCCAGAGTTCCAGGAAGTAAAGGGAGATCTAGTATCCTGCCCTTAGTTAAAATGGCCACCGTCAAAAGACTGGGGAAGAAAAAAAAAATAAGGTATGTGAAGAATACAAAGCCGGCAATTATCTAGAAGTATCTGTTTGTAGATTGTCATTACTAAACATTTCTAAGGGTGCCTGTTATTTTGAAGATATGGGTAAAGTTCCTCAACTGATGTAAAATATATGCTTTTGGGATGAAACGTGCTCACTATCCGCCCACCCAAGCTCTGGAGTCAAATTAATCTCATCTTAGCAAGAGAGGTCTCCACCCTCCTCTTGCAATCTCCCAGATGGAACGAGTGTCCCTTGTAATTGTGACCCACACTCAGCATTAAGATGTCTCATTGGGTCTTAGTGATGTCACAGTCATACACGTTATATGGCATGCAAAGAGCTGCTGTCACCTGGCAGGTCCGACAGCCCTTCACTTACTTTAGCTTTCTCATACAGGTCTCTGGTTGCTCCTCTTGGCGGATTCTTCGACGTTGACGTGGTGGCATCTCCTGCACAATCCTCATGGCGTGTAGACTGTCTAGATGCAGCTTCTCCTGCCTGGAAAGTATTACAATGGACCCCAATTAAAAACATGTCTGAAAGCTGAACTATTTTAAAGGGGCAGACCTAAATGCCTGACTGAAGTCTTACACCTTTTTTTATTTATAGCCCTTTTAATTTGTTTTATTGCTTTTTGCTTGGGAATGCCTTGAAATACAATTTTCTCTCAGTAGAAATGCTGCTTTCTGCCCTTTCACTGCAGAGCTCTGTGCTGGCAGAGCTCAGTAATAGCCACACCTCTCATCACAAGTGTCCTCACACTGGAAGACAGGGGTGTGTCTCACCAGGCCTGTTACTTAGGCACTAAAGTCACACCGAGCACCTTCAGCGATTGGCACTATTAGGCTGTATAGTCTTAACTGGACATCCCACAGAGCTTCTGTAACAGGAAATGGAGGTAGGACTATACAAACTGAGACTGTTACTACAATGTCCGACTGTGTGTCTATTTGTGTGGCTTTAACTGGGCTTAAGGCCAGGTTCACACTTGGGCGATCCACGCAGATTGCTGTGCGGTCACGGAGTCGCCCACCCCCGCCTGATTGCGCTGCCAGTGCCATTATTTTCTAATGGTACCCCAGTCGCGGCGGGTGGATTGTGCGGTTTCCCACTGCGATTCCGCCTGTGCAACCAAACATGATCGCAGCTAAAACAGCCGCGCATCGTGTGTCACAAAAAAAAGTACATTTCCCTTTTTTATGCGATTGCTGCGTGGATGTAACTCCATTGAAATCAATGGGGCCACGCGGCAATTGCTTTGTGCAATTGTGCACGATCACATTGTCCCGGATCGGCTAGGTCTGCACCGGCCCTTAAAGATTGCATCCAGCCAAGACTTTTTAGTCGTTTTGGATAGAGTGGAGACGGATTACAACCACCTGTCAAGATTCTACTGCTATCCTGGGTCTCCTTACTTCTTGTCCTGCTGACGTTTCACTAGACAGGAAGTGAGAGTAACTCTCCAACAGCAACTCACAGAGAAAAAATATGTTTTTCTTTAGCAGAGTAGGGAACGATAGAACCCCTAATTTTTATTTCCGTCTGTGTCCCTGTTAGAGATTTTTTTAAATTAGGCAATTATGGCATTTTAAATAATTACCACGTGCAGCTAGCAGTGTTTGAGGATTCTATACTACATGTTCTGTGAAAGCCCTTTTTGACATCTGTTATGCTAAAAATAGACATCTGAATGAGTCAGGGGAGGGACACTCTCCCCTTTCTCCTAACAGAGGCGAGAAAGCCCTAATTAAACAGTTTACTGAGGCTGCCCAAACATGCTGGCAGTTCTGGGCTTTCTTTCTAGCAAGCCCAGTATGCTTTTTCAAGTTGGATGCACTGGATGCATCTTTTCTTAAAGATTTCTATGCAAACAATTAAAAAGAATCAGCTTACAAATTTTTCATCATCCCTAAACATTAGATCAACCACAAATCAATATAATTTCTGTTCAAGAGAATAAACACAGCCATGATAATCTTGCAGGAAGCTAAAGATGCTGAGCCATCATGGATGCCGCTTCTGAATTCTTTCCCGCAATCCTCTGATGCTGCTCGGGGCTGGAAAGGTCTAGTCAACTGTGACCACCCTGCCGACCAAAAATAGCCACCCTTCCACTGTTTTGTACAAGGTGATGCTGACAAAATGGGATTTCTGGGTTGCAGATATATCTTTGGTACCCTGGGGCCCCAAGGTTAATGAGCAGCACCAGACACAGCTGTTGTAAGTAATAATACAGCGTGGGGTGGAGATTCTTGGGTACATGCCATTAGTTATGATGACTTGATGACTGTGGGGTTCCTTAGAGTTTAATGATTCAGGGCTGTTGTGCTCCTACAGACTGCACATTAGCAACAAGCAGTATAAGACCAGCGCGGTGTGCAATATCCCACAGTAACCATTTACGTGCGATTGTGATCACATGGCATGTTTTTAATGATTAATTAATGTCCTATTCCTGATACACTTCCCTGCTGCTTGTCACCTTTTGGGCCATAAGAATCCTCATATTCAGTTGAAAGTCTGACTTTGGTCTCTAAAAAACTAAACATGTTTTCCAATAATACTTCTTTGTGGTCTGTACACCATGTGACTCCAGGTCCAGTTTCCTTCCTGGCTCTTAACGGTGTGTGCGTGGACATGTGACAGTAACTTATCTGAGCACTTCGGACAAAGTAAAAGCAGCTTGTCTTGGCTGAGGAACATCATATGAAAGAACCTGGTAAGATCTTTGCAATTCACTAGAAGCACACCAGAAAGGGAATTGGTCATGTACTTCTTGCTTGACTATAGCCTAAGGCCCATTTCACATGGGGGATGTCAGTCCTGATCGGATCCCCAGCTGATGGGAGCAGAATGGAGCAGAAGTCACTCCTGTGAGATCCGTGTCTGTTCAGATTTTAACTCCATCTTGCTACAGAGCTGTATGGATCCATGTTAGGTCTATGGGGAGTTTGGTGCAAGTGGACATGTGTCAGTTTGCAACAGATTACCTCTGATCCATCATGATCCTGTTTTTATAGTTTCTTTTTCCTCTCATTTCTTATAATGGATCTTACTGACAGAAAGGTCAAATGTGGCACAAATAATGCTTAAGGGGGCTGTAAGAAAGTACAAATATGGAAGAATTGATTTGGAAAGGGGCTGTGATAGCAGTGATTTCTAACAGTCTGATGTAATATGTCTCCAGTCTATGACTGTCTCTGGAAGAATGTCCCCAGTTTCCAACAACTCCTATAGCAGTTGTAGGCAACTACGGCACTCCAGCTATTGTAAAGCTACAAATCCTATCATGCATCTGGCCCTGGGAATCATGCATTTGGCTATCAGAGTCTTGCAAGGCCTCATGGGATTTTTAGTTTCACCACCATTGGAGTGCCGAGATTGCCTAACCCTGCCCTATAGCACGTTTGCAGAAACTGACCATCTCTTGTAGCATTCCTGTACTGTATGACCATCACTTGTAGCATTTACATACTCTCTGACCATCTCTTGTAGAATGCCCATCGTCTTTGACCATCTCTTGTAGCATTCCTATACTCTATGACAGTGGTCTTACAAGGAGGGTGCGGGGGGTGCAACCCGCACCCAGGGGGCATCCACTGCAGGGGTGACACCAAAATGACTGACAGACATCACTAAAAAGTCGGGCACTCGGTCAGGAGAGAGGAGGAGACCCGGTGTCATATCTCATCCTGCCAGGTGAACATCCCCTCCTCTCTCTGCCTGCGTCCATCACCAAGATGGCCACCGGCAGGCATCAATCAGATGTTCGCACACGCGCAGTGACGACACGGCGGGGTGTCACCTGGTCTAGAGACCTGGGTGACAACCGATCTCGGGATGCCCCTGCTCTATGACCATCTTTTGTAGAATGCTCATTGTCTTTGACCATCTCCTGTTGCATGTCTGCTCTCCATAGCACCAGGTGTCACATGGCCAGGTACCACACTATATCAAGAAATGGGGCCACAACTGTATTGGAACAAAAATGGCAAACTCATTCGATTGGAGAACCAAAACTCAAAATCTGAGCTAAAATTGAGACCTGTGCCTAGGCTCAGAGAGTGCCTAAGTGCACAGATAAAATCTTGCTTAAGAGTAAACGTACTTGCAGGCACCATGTAGTTAAAATGAATTGAGAAGTTTCTTCTCATATCCTGATATGCCTGCTGGACACATTTTGAGTTGCCACTACAATAAGAATAGATGGGAAGTCTTTCTATGGGGACACTTGTGGTCACAACTAAGGAATGATTTCCCTCCCTTTGGAGAAGTTTCTTCTCATTTCCTGATTTGCCTACATTATACATTTTGTGTTGCCACTACAACAAGAATAGATGGAAAATCTTTAGATTGGGGGACATTTGTTGTGGTCACACCTAATGGAGGATTTCCCTCCCTTTGAAGATGCTTTTTCTCTTTACCTGATATGTCAATGAGACACATTTTAAGTTGCCACTACCACGGAAATAGATGTAAAGTCTTTCTATAGAGACACTTGTTGTTGTCACAACTAAGGAATGATTTCCCTCCCTTCTGAGAAGTTTCTTCTAACTTCCTATTTTGTCTATGGGACACATTTTGAGTTGCCACTACAACAAGAATAGATGAAAAGTCTTTCAATTGGGGACATTTGTTGTGGTCACACCTAATGAAGGATTTCCCTCCCTTTGAAGATGTTTTTTTCTCTTTTCCTGATATGTCTATGAGACACATTTTAAGTTGCCACTACCACGGGAATAGATGTAAAGTCTTTCTATAGAGACACTTGTTGTTGTCACAACTAAGAAATTATTTCCCTCCCAATGGAGAAGTTTCTTCTCATTTCCTGATGTGTCTAAGGGACACATTTGAGTTGCCACTGCAACAGGAATAGATGGGAAGTCTTTCAACGGGGACACCTGTTGTGGTCACAGCTAAGGGAGGTTTTCCCTCCCAATGGAGAGATTTCTTCTAATTTCCCCATTGTGTCTACATGAAGTGAAGGGAAATCACTCCAATGGGACACAGATAGCAAATTTTAAAAAACTGACAAGGGTTTAACCCTTCTCTACTGCAGCCAAAACTGAAAATAAACTTTGAGCTTTAGAAATACTTTAAAGTCATACTTTGAGAATGGCTGGACCACTGTCTCAGTATAAGGAAGCAGCAGACCCAGGAACAAAAGCTTGTGCGTGGCAAAGGGTCCTTAAGGACTGCAGTTGAGAACTCCTGTCATAAGCGTAATGTGATGCAGAGCTGTCTGCTACAGAGGAGGTCACTGTACTTGTGAAAGACAAGGTCATATGGCCCCGGTGAATTCCGCGACTCGTCAACCCTGTGTCAAGTCTATCCTTTGCGTACACACTTCTTGCTGTGTTTCCTCACCGCAGGAAGAGAGTGCCAGACCCTGAATGGGGCAGAAGTGGGAAGTCAATAGTAAATGGACAAATCCCATCTCCTCCTGTGCTGCTAATTGATTTTCATGTGCTCCCCTAAGGGCCCCGAGACCATTCAACAGAGACTCAGCTCAGCTTTCCGACTCCACTTCAAACCACAGCATCAATAAATCATCAGCCGCCAGCCATTTGGTTTAACCCCTTGCCAGCCGATACGTCGGTTAACTCCCTCATGCCCGTTAGCACACCATGACTACTGTTGGGCGACAGGACAGTAATTTGTTCTTCATATTTTTTAGTTATTTATTTCCAAAGCATGCATGCCAAAAGACTGCATTTTCAGGATACAGAGATACAGGATAACGGCTTTAGAAAAGCAACTCTTGCTGTTGAAAATTCCAATGCTCCTAACAGTCAGACACATGTGGAGACATTGAAAAAGAGTAGGACCACTCCTGTCCAGCAGGAATAATGGTTATGGGTAAGCAGGTCCGAGTCTGAGAAAAAAAAGTAGGTTGCCATAATTTGATAGGAATTTTCCAGATTCTACTCTACGGAAGCAGTGGCGTCAACGAATATGTTAAAGATCAGCAGATAAACATTGTTTATGGAGGTGTCAGCGACTGGACTGCAGAATAGGTTCCACACAACCCCACTGTAACATTGAGAGGTAAACATGTTGATTGTTTGGATTTAGCAATATCAGGCCTCTAGCTTTAAGGCACCATCTGGCCTTTCCCCTGACTGAAGTCTTCTGATTAAAGATGAACTCCCGGAAATCTAAAATGTAACCCTTGCAATGGGACTACTCCTGCACTGCAAGGGTTAACTGCTCATTTTTGGTCTAGAGGCTAAGATAAAGAAAATATACTCACCTGATCCTCGGTCCTGTAGGGGTGACCCCTCACCTCTCTCCTCCTCTGCTCTGGTGGTGGGAATTCTCTCTACGTCCTCATGTCTCATGCAAGTCAATAGACCTGCATTAGAAGTGGTAATGTCAGACCGCTGGAGCCGGGGGGAAAAGAAGCTGCTGAGATCAGTCTAGCAGCCAAGTGGAACCAAGAAATAAGTGAGTATATTTTCTTTATTTCAGTCCCCCCCTCCAGACCAAAATGAGCAGTTAACCCTTACAGCAGGGGCGTATTTACCGCAAGGCAAACTAGGCGTTTGCCTAGGGCGGCACCCTCTGTCGGACCGCTGCCTTACAGCATGGTGGTAGCCCTACTACAAGGGTTACTTTTTAGATTTCCTGGAGTTCTGCTTTAATAGGTGTAGAGAACTGTGAACAAATGGACACCAATGAGTAAAGCACACATCTTTGTTCTTAATGTTAAAGCTGACCTGTGCTTGGCTAAAACTGTAGTCTCAACCTATCACCCTTCTTACTCTTGGGGCTCCCTCTAACTCTGTACCGGTACTGTATTGTGCTATCTGGCTACAGGGAGGGTTACTGATTATTCAGACAAGGACAGCCAATCAGTAGCACTGACAACACCTAGATTCCCCCTACAACAATGACCAGAACCTAAAAAGCAATACATTTCAGCTGTAGGAGAACATGAATTTTGCTAAAACTGAAGTGTATTCATTCCACCACCAGGGAGGAGGCAGCTTCTGTACAGATGTTTATCAGAGGAAGCCAAATCAGCACGATGTACATGTAGTGCTGATATTATAGAGCGCAGGAACTGCCATATTCCCGTGCAAATTGCAATTAATGATTTTCCAGGTCATGGCGCACATGTCGCAAATCATCTTCAACATAGGCACACTATGCTGATGATTTGGCACATGTCTAATGCGCATCACATGTGCGCCAAATTTAAATGTTGGATCAACCATAGTTTTTGGGCCCAAAGAATTCACACGGGGATGACATTTTAAGAAACAAAAATGTCAGTCCAGCTAAATTACATGGTGGTTACAGTTTTGGCTTTTAGAACAAAAACATGATCACCAAACATGGAAAATATGAATATGCTTGCCAATGGCTAATGTAAAAGCTGTATTAATATTATATAGTTAGAACTGATCACCATCATTGACAAGCAGCTTAAAGGTGCCCATACACCTTACAATTATCTGCAGATTTTCTGTGGTCAGATGGAAAAAGTGCAACAGATTGGCCCAGGTGCAGATTACTCCATCCACACAGTTAAGTGTAGATGGAGGAATCTGTTGCACCTTTTCCATCTGACCACAGGAAATCTGCAGATAATTATAAGGTGTATGGCCAGCTTTATATGTAGTAGTGTTATCATTGTACATACATGGCAGCTGCGATCCTGGCAGCATCATCATTCACAGAGACCTGCCTGTCGTGACTCAGCACCTCCTGCAGCCATCCTGACAGAACCTGCAAAGGCAAAACAAAAACAGTACTCAGTACAACAGGAGCCTGCAGAGTGCAATATAACAATATTCTGATCACATTTATTGGTCTGGCCAAGCTGAAGAGCAGAGATCTATAAATGAATAGATTGTAGTGGGACTGTAAAATGATTATGACCACCGGTCAAAAACCATTAAAGCTTACCATCCATGAGTGAAACATGGAGACTGCCATTGCTGACCTCCTGAAAATGATTACTGATTTTTAATGGAAGCTGGATTTGGGCTTTAAAGTATAATTTCATAGTATGAAGCGACATTAAAGAGTTCAGCGAAGGGAGGCCTGCACCCCTATCAATGCATATATGGACAAAAAGGACCATAGGAGGGGCAACAGATACAAGACCTTTCTGAATCACCACATTAACCCGAGCCACGATCTGATATAGAATCCTCCTCCAAGTGCTCGGGCTGCAGTTCGAACATTTGTTTTGAGGGTGACTGCAGCCCGAACACTCGGACGAGGATTCTATATCAAATTACAGCTCAGGTTAATATTTGGTGATTTGGGAAGGTCTTTCTATATCTATTGCCCCCTCATTTGTCCCCTCCATAGGGAGGCTTTGTCCAGGGTTTCCCGCTGTGTCGGCTCATGGTTGAGCTATAAAAAAGCTGATACAATATTCACGGTTCTTGTCCTCCTGAGGCAGCCATTTTCTTGGTCAAAACACATCGAGGATTCTTGTAGCAGATAAAATATTTGTTCAAGGGTGATCATCAAGGACTGCACAGTTTGCGGTCCTAATCAATGGATTTTCAATGTTGTGATATATCAACTTGCATACACTATGTGAACTATGACCAGCAATGTTGATTTTATTTTTCATGTGCTTATTTTATTGTAATTTTGATGATATAATGTAATAAATGTGTGATTTTACTAAGGAGGTCCGATTTGTTGGCCTAAAAGCCCCATTTCTGGTCTCTGTAGCCAGATACATTTAATACATCTTTTTTGTACAAAGTACAATCCAATTTTTTTTTATTGGTCTTAGATAGAACAGCGAAACTTTAGAATGTCTGTCAGATTGTTGCTCAAGGAGAAGAAAATGTGAGGTGCTGGATGCTAATTCCTAAGCAAGAGGAGTATAGACCCATTCAAGAAACTTTTAGATCGTTGGTTTTCAACTGATGGGTCGTGACCCAAAAGTGGGTCGTGACCCCGTGTCCAGTGGGTCACCACATGTCTGCCACTTTTCTAGGTGAGAGGATCCTCAGCATCCCCCCAGAGAAGCACTTTCAGTTCTCGCACCTAGCAGTCATTTAAAAATATGATGCCTGGTGCCGAGTGTCGACTTGAGGTGCGGTGAGGTGGGGCTATGGCCGCGAGGGAGCTCCATCCATACGTGCATTGCTTACAGTTCATCACATTCTGGTTTCCGGCACTACTACGGGCGCACACGGGAGCTTTACAAGCAATACACATATGGATGGAGCACCATCACAGCACAGCAGACCACACTGGACCCCAGGTTGAGGATCAACTCCTATTTCCGTAATGGCAACCCAAACGCACCTCCTACCTCCACAATTGCCTGCACCGGAAAACGTAGTGCCGCAACATGGAACATTGCAGTGCAACTTGGGTCGCGACTTAATGACCAAGGACAAAAGGTTACACAGGTTGAGAACCACTGTTTTAGATGCCTCCCTCAATGAATGCAACATACAGGGGTATGGGTACTCTTAGTGACTCACACATACACACACACATACACACACACATACACACACACACACACACACACACACAGGGGTTTCACTGGCTAAACTGTGTTCTTTTTGAACCTTAAGTATTTATTTGAGCTTGGGTTTGGCAGCTCTTCACAAAACGGGGATCCCCAAAAGACAGGAGTCGCTCAATTATAAAAAATCCAACATCAAACAAAAGGCATGAGGTAAATCCATAAATAGTAAGTACTATCCAATGCATTTCAGGGGCCGGAAATTCCACTTCCTCAGGGCTTTGACAATGTATCAAAGTGTCCAATAGCCTCAAAACACAGCAAAGCTCCTAGACAAAAAAAAGTCTTATCCAGAGTAATAAACATTGAATGTACATGTCTTCAGCTCCTATCCATGAGCTTTGCAGTGCTTTAAATTCATTAGACACTTTTATACATTTTCAAAGTCCTGAGAAAGGGGGATTTTCTGCCCTCCAAATACATTGAGGTGAATTTATCAAAACTGGAGCAGACAAAATCTGGAGCAGTTGTTCATGGCAACCAATCAGCTTTTCTCTTTCATTGTTTAAAATCTTAACTGAACAAACTGAAGAGAGAAGCTAATTGGTTGCTATGGGCAAGTGCTCCAGATTCTGTCTCCTCCACTTTTGATACATTCCCCCCATTGTCTATCTCTTTACCTGTGGATTTAATAAAACTTTGTGGACTCTGAAATTGTTTAGTTTGGCAGTTTTTGTGATACAACTACCCATAGATTTGTATTACTCTATGTGTGCACATTGCAGAGATCTGTTCATATTAGTTGTCACAGTGACCTTGCAGTGCAGTGAAATACATCATTTTATATAGTGGGGATATGCTCCACTGAGGACTGCTGTCCTGGTGACAACTATCATAGGTGGCACTTCCCCTCGCTTTTGGGAGAATTTCAATCATATCCTGTCATGTCATTGGCATGGGAATAAAAGAAAATTATCCTTGATGGTAACCCAAAAAAAGACCTTTCTACATTCTATCCAAAAAAAAGTTAAGCCTGGAAGTCCCCTTTTAATGTTCCTGTAGACAAAAGGAAAATACTAAATCTACAGCAGTAACAGACCGACAACATTGTATATTGTTAACATATACCTCTTAGTACGAAGGGAGGCCAATAAGTTCTTACCCTCACCATGATCTAGATGTGCTAGGGATCTGAAATGTTGAAGGTTTATAGGTGGATATCTTAGTAATATGCATGCCAATTGTTTTTGTAGGTCGTGGTGAATTATAGTTAGAACCAAGAGAAATGGAGTAGGTGTCATGCCGGACAAAGTTGAATACCGAGGCGTGTGTTGCTGCTAGCTGACAATGCACCTGCACATCGAGCTGCAGAAACTGTCACGATTGTGGCTATGAATCTCTGCCCCATCCACCTTACTCAGCTTACTCACCTGACCTGGCACCTCCTGACTTCTTCTTGTTTCCAAATCTTAGAAAACAGCTTCAAACCCACCAAACAATGATGTCAGCTAGCAGCAACACACGACTCGGTATTCAACTTTGTCCGGCATGACACCATTTCTTTTGGCTCTAGCTATAATTCACCACGACATACAAAAACAAAAATTGGCATGCATATTACTAAGATATTCACCTATAAACCTGCAAAATGTCAGATCTCATGGTGAGGGTAAGAACTTATTGGCCTCCCCTCGTATAGCATACGGAACTCCAGGATATTATGTAAATTTTTTTTTTTTTTTTAATGGTCCATGTTTGCCTTGCCTAACTTGATCCCTGTCCAATGATCTGTAGGATAGGGCTTTGGGGCCTGCCTGTTGTCAGCTATCAGGATAAATTGCAGGACAGCACTGGAGTGGTAGCACTACGGAATGAGCAGCGGCTGTGAGCCGTCGAGTCCTGCTGTTAGTTTAGTATTTTCCATTTCCCCAAAGGTTTAATTTAAACTTTGCTAAGCTGCTTCACTTACAAAGTTATCTTCACTTAGTGGAATATCCATTGATGCAGCTTTGAACTGTGCAAGGTAGAGAAGCTCTTTGGATGTGTGCAGCCTCTACCCCCTGCCAAGCTTGTGCTCTCTCTGAAAACTTTCCTTGACACCTTCATCTTGTTCTTTCTTCCCATCAGTTCACAACTTGACGGATGGAAGAAGAATGCCGGCAGCAATTAAATCCAGTAGCAATATCCTAACATGAGCTCTCGGAGAGAATGAACACTCTCCTAATTGCAGATGATTTGCGGTTTGGAGACAGAATGGGAACAATGGCAGGTTTTTAACCCTTTCTATAATTGCCAGTGTATCAAAGAGCAGAGGTTATGAGTCCAGTGATCCCAGCAAGGTTTACAGGATATTACAGATAAAAAAAAGGTCTTTGAAAATGATCAGCAATTACCACAGAAAGAAGTATCTATTTTATGTCTTTAGTTTGGTCTAGTTGCTGCAATAACTGAGGTCTTCAATCACCATGTTCTCTACACAGGATACTTACCAGCCTGTTAGCCTTGCTTCTTTTCCATCCATGTAGATTTTGTAGACCTACTGCGGGAGTCCAGTCCAGGTCCCTTTGTGCCTTCTTCTTTCTAAACATTTCCTACACATATATTATGGAGAACGTTGCCATATACATGGCAATAGTTTCTGTGTCAATCTCCTGTGAGTCCAGGGAAGGGCACTGATGTCCTGGGCTCATAGGGAGTAGGTTGAATGGTGCTGGGTGTCATTCAACCTGCAAAAGTAGCAGTACCGCATTGTTCAATAGGTCAGCCTGTGGGTGGCAGTTGCTGGAGGAACCATGCTTACTTTTATTGCCCACAGTGAAATTGGGCTTTCAAGTAAACCTGTGCATTGCCCAGTCAAAGCAAAGTAACAGGTTTGCTTTAATTCCCACATCCCTAGCAGCACATCCTTACCTTTCCTTTCCTCCAAAACACAAAAAAAACAAATGGGGGGTTTATACATTCCCTATTCTAACGAAAACTATAAACAACATTTTGGTGCTCGATATACTTTTAATTGCAAAAAAAATCATCTAAATTAAATAGTAAATACAAAGAGATATAAAATAAAATTGTATCAACTGTATTGGATTGTATTAAAAAGATAGACCTAAAACATTATAGTAATTATTTTAAAGTAAATCTTTCCTAAGAGAAACGTGGAGGCTGCTTACCTCCTCCTAAAATTCCAAGCTGCCTACTGAGGACCCTTTGGATGGGAATTCTGATATTAACATTAGTAATCCTATTAGTAATATCATCAATGCACATATTCTGGTTTTATAACCCAAAACACCTGATACCAGAGACTGCTCTTCCATACCTTTGCTCTATCAATGACATAAGGAAAGTTTAAGATGTCTTTGGCACTTGGACGTAGCTCTGGGTCTTTGGACAACATCCTGCAAGCAGAAAATTAGATTATGACTGATGGAGAAGCCATAAAAGCATCTGGCCAAAAAAATTACATTTGAAATAGTTTATGAGAACAAATTGACATAAAGACAAATTGCAATTTGTTCTGTCAAATCGGCTACACAGAAATATAACTAAGCAGTGACTTGAGGACAGGCAGCACAATTGCTGAAGCCATGACTAGGCCAGGTATCCTAGAGAGCCTACAAGATACCTAGCTACGATTATAAATTTGATTGCAGGACCTTGAATATGTGTAACCTCAAATTTTATATATTTTAAGTATGAGAAGGGTGGAGGCAGGTGATTTAGTTTTTAAAGCCATCTTGCCTTCTATTGCATTCAATACTGGCAGATGGTCTACAACAAGTTTCATTCACACAGCATGGACCAATATTCTTGGCTTGGACCAAAATTCAAATGACTGTATTTATTGCATTCAATACTGGCAGATGGTCTACAACAAGTTTCATTCACACAGCATGGACCAAAATTCTTGGCTTGGACCAAAATTCAAATGACTGTATTTACACGGATTTAAAGATAATTCCCTTAAGGGGTCAGTTGTGCCAAAAGGAAAAGTTAAAGGTGAAGTTTGTTGGGCCGAGTCAGCCCTTAGCTTCTTTTATTAATTGAATATTCCAGTAGTGAATAGTTCTCCTTGCCATGGTTCCTGGATCTGCTCTTGCCCAACCAAGAGTTTGGGTGTTCCATCTCATTCTGTTATTTTTAACATTCCCCATAATGATCCAACAAGTAGACTGGGCCCCCTCCTAATAACCACAAAGGGTGTGCAGACCCAGCACAGAGATCTTACCAGTAGTGAGATATATGAAATTGTTGGATGGTTTACCATTCCAGTATTTACCAATATGTCTTAATGGATGCACACAATTGGGCTGTCTTTTCATAATTCTGGAAATACCTTTAAAGTGAACCTATGCTTTGCTCATGCAGGGCAAAGCAACCGGTTCACCTTAATGCTACCCCAGCAATTTTTTATGGTTGCTGCATTCACCTATAGGATTGAAGAGTAGTCTAAGGAAGGAGCGTAAGCTGGTGTCAGTGGTGACTGCGAGATTACTAAGAGCTGAGGATTCTTTCCTGCCCCCGTGTGACAGCTCTGAGTACTTGAGTGGCCAATTACCAAGCTCCAGTTCTGTCACATGGGAGAAAGGGGAGCAAGCCCAGTGCCCCCCTATACAGAGGAAGTATCGGGTTTTGCAACTTCACTTCCCATGGTGAGTGAAGTCTGGTAGGGGAATGAAAAGAGAGGGGTAGCAGTAGAGTAAACCTGTTGCTCTGTGCTTCATGGGCAAAGCATAAGTTTAAAACAAGTGCTCAATATGCCAAAAAAAAACACAAAATGTTATTGCCCCAATCCTTTTCATGTTTTAAATATTCCCTGCTGGCATTTTGATCTGAGCCAACAGGGTTGAAGAATTGACAGATTAAGGCCTGCGTTGATGACAGCCACAGTGACTGTTTTTCCACTCCGTTGTGTCACAGAGTAACTTTGTTAGAATATCAAAGTTCAGATTCTTGAGATCTCTTTATCCAATTAACCCTCAGCGATGACAGCTAGACCATGCTGCTTCATAGGCAATTATCTGAGAAATAAAAGTATGTGAAGATGTGCTTATCAGGACATTCATGCATTAGCTAAATATGAAAAACTATTTAAAAGTGCACCTGTCACATAGACAGTGAAGGAAGACATTTTGCTGCTGAAGAGATATCGGATGTTCACAGACTGCCCTGGGTAAAAGATATTGCCAGCTCCCTCACTGCACGAAATCCAGGTGATTACTTTTTTTTTTGCCAGGCAGTGTATATTAACATTATAAGTATTTAGAAAGGTATTTTTTACCATTAAAGGTTCGATTCCATACAATAAGTCATAAAAACCATTTGATTAATGTGGCCAAATGGCCCTCAGTGCAGGCTTACCAAATCCAGTATCCTCTATTCTTAAAAGGTCAGTGCCTTCCGGTATCCCTGTGAGGTATTGAACAGACCAAATGTGTGGACTGGAATTTGTTGTGTGAAAAGTGGTTCCATTAGCATGGTTTCATTCATTTAACCAAACCTCATATCTACAGTCAGTGGGTTGGTTTGCTTCCACATTGCCTGTATACACGCCCTCACCATGCTTAAAGGAGAACTATGAGGTGAGTGCTTTTCACTCACCTCATAGTTCTAGCCAACCTGTGACAGTGAGACTGTCACAGGTCGGATCAGTAGATCGGGAGGTGAGTGAACACATACCGGCGTTCGCTCACCTCTCGATTCTGTCATGGCTCTCTGCCTTGACAGGGGAGGGGCTGGATTCCCCCCTCCCTGCTCTGATCCGCCAGCGCTGACTGGCGGAACGGACGGGGGAGGGGGCGGGTACAGCTGGCTCTGCCTCTAGATAGGCAGAGCCAGCTGTCAGTCACGCAGCTGGGCGGATCCCGGCATAATTGTCGGGATCCGCTTCAGCTGCGGCGTCTCAGTATACCGCGAGCTGCAGCTCGCGGTATACTGAGCCTAGGGTGACGGGAGGACGCTAGTTTGTGTCCTCCCGTTACCCTAAGGAGAACTATGGGGAAAAGCCTTAACCCCATAGTTCTCCTTTAATAAATGTACCAACAAAAGAGGGTTCTTGTAGGACTTTTTTGTCTATTTGTCGAGATGTAGAAGATACGTGGAAGACTTTAGGCCTAATTGAATGTCTACAATGTCGTGTATAAGCTCTGTCACATTAACCAATACAATTGTATATTCCCAAAAGATGTGTGAGAGGGTGCCTGGGCCTTCATTACACCGCCATTACACTTGAGGAAGTGGGGAACATTTTGTGGAGGATGGTGGGGATTCTGTACCAGCTAGTTATGATTTTATAACCGGCTTCCTATATTTTGTGTGAGATCCACGAAATATGCGTGTGTAAATTATGGGTTCGCTTTTTTGAGGGGTGAATCTACCGCTAGATATCAGGCATACGCCACAATATATGGAATACATAGAAGTGTAGTAATAATAGGGAGCCAAGGTGTCATAATACTATTCATATGCAGGGCCGGATTTACTCTCTCTGCTGCCCCAAGGCCAGGTTCCTCAATGCGTCCCCCTACCCGGCAAACCCCCTGCATGGAGAATGGGAGACCTGCAGGCTGCATAAAGTGGTCTCGGCGACATCGCTGGATCACTTGTACAGAACAAGTGGCGGCTTCCCCGCTGTACATTTAGCTCTGCTTGCCCAAAGCAGGGCTAAAGGTAGAAAACAACTACCCGCTCGGCGCCCAGAACTGCATGTCCTGGGCATCGGGACATAAGAATTCCACACCCCTGCTGCCCCTCTACTCCATGCTGCCCTAAGCCCGGGCCTTGGTTGGCCTTGTGGGAAATCCGGCCCTGTTCATATGACACCTTGGCTCCCAGACCCGAATGGCATTCAGGTGCTCCCGAATGCTATTGTGTCATATGACAGCTGAGAATGTCAAATCGGCAGAACGAGCCCCATGATGTCACGGCTCACTCTGCCCATTTGTTTACATTCAGGCCAGAGCTGTCATTTTGCGGCGAGTCTTCGTCGGGTTCAGATGAGTCGGCATGCAGTGCGCCTTTTTTTATTTTGGCGAGGCGATGTTCATGGTGATTGACGCTGGATTACATCGATGGATCAATTTTTTTTTTAAATAAAGGAATTGTCAAAAACTGACTCTTTGTTTTTTGTTCAATTAAAGGGATTTTTCGAAATGTGTGGTGTGTTTATTTACATGTACTTTTAACCCTTTAGTGAAGGAGTAGGGGCACAAGTACCCCTTACTCATTCAAAATGGGGGAGGGGGCGGCATCTGGGTGCCCCCTTAAAGGGGTACACCCTCCCAATGCCGAGGGCACGTGGCCGGGTTTGGCACAGGTGGGGGGGAGCTCAATCGCCCCCCATTTCCTGCCCTTCCAGGCCTGTGCTCGGATCAAGAGTCTGGTAGGAATTTTAGGGGGGCCCCACATTTTTTGGGGGTGGGGTCCCTCCTTAAAATATCTGGTATGGCTTTTGGGGGAAACCCTAAGCACTTATTGTTTATTTTTAGCTTGGGAGGAGGGGGGTCCCTCCTAACATTCCTACCAAACCTTAAGTGTCTAGTATCAATTGGGGGGAACCTCACGTTTAGTGTCACTTTGCTGCAACGAAAATTCGCTCGTAACAGAAATTTGTATACTACCGCTAACGAAAATTCCGATTTTTTTTTTTTAAAGTTGATGCTTAACACAATAAAACTTCATTCGGGAAAGAAATTCAGATGCTTCGGAAATTTTTGTTATCAGAAATCCGTATTCGTTACTTCTGTCATTTGGAGATCCGTTTGCATCACAATTAATACATTTCCGAAAATTCGTCCGAATAACTAATCTTTCAGAAACGATTCGCACATGTCTAATAATCAGGAAGTGGGGTTTGGACCCCCATGTCTGGGCCCCTGATGTAGCCCAAGGTTTGTGGATACCTGACTATCAGACACATATGAATGTGTTGGATATCCAAACAAAGTTCCTTGCTATGAATTACTGAATTTCGTTCTTCATTTGGAGTTTTATTTTACAGTATAACTTTACGCAGACACTTCAATGTAAAAAGACCAAGCACATCATTTCTGCAGTCATATAGGACATTGGCCATCTATAATATCATTTATTTATTTTCTTCTGAAGCCAGTCCGAGGTCCTTCCAACGTCCCCTAGGCAATGTGATGGTGGCTGCAGAGACTTCTTTTCTATGTACTTATAATTATGTGTCTGGGGACTCCCCTCTTCGGCTACTGACACATCTTTGAAGTCCGCTGGAACTTTGTGTGCTGTCTGAACGCAGAAACCTCTTTACGTCCTGACAGAGATAAGAACTTCAGACAAAGCAGGTTATTTCACATAAAGGCTGCCTGTTTTTTCAAACTATATTGGGGTGATGCGGCCACAGATACGGGTAAAATTCTACTCAGTGGAATTC